GATATCGATATTTAGTTAAAAATGACGATATTTTTTTCCGCAACAAATTCACTGTCCGCATCATTTATTTAGGTAATTTAATGGCCGGTATTATAAAACACTTAATCGATGATTGAGTTTTAACCTTCGGTTGACTCCAAGCAAATTGATAGGATTCAACCAAAGGTTGAAACTCTACCATCGGTTCAGTGTTTTATAATACCGGCCCTATAAGTCAAGTGAAATTCAATTCCGTTGAAAATGTCAGCCAATTTTTTAAAGTACCTAACAAATTTTGAAAAAATGGAAAAAATCAATACGAATACGCAGTGGCGGATCTAGCATGAAGCAAACGACGCACTCTGCGTCGGGCCCCCAGAGCTGAGGGGCCCCCACACAACCAGATTCTAAAGGGACCGATAAAAACGAATAAAAAAAAATCGTAGATATAAAAAAAAAAAACGAAATTGTATACCAGGATGCCTTTTCCCGAAATCGGGAACAGCGTTCTCACGAGAAAGAACGATTGCTCTGTCTTTGTCAGTGTTATGGAAATAGAAATATGGGCAACAAAGACATAACCTTCGTGGTCATGGTTCCTGTTTCGAGGATAGAGGCCCTGTAGGCCGGGAATCCAGGGCTGGGATCACGAAAAGTAGAATTCCACTTTCACGACGTCATTAGCGACCTATTTATCGCGTACATTACGGGTGATGATGACAGTTGCTAGGCAACCTGACGTCATGAAAGTAGACTTCTAGTATAATGTCGTGATCCCAGCCCTGATGCACTTGCGGCAACCGATCGCGGCAACCGCGGCCGCGTCGAGTTTACGCGGCTTTTTTAGGTATTGTCCTTCAGACTCCAGAGGGGCGCTTTCTTTTATTCAGCAGTTGTTCCATCAGTAATCAGCCTTTCTTTGTCTAGCTCATAGAAAATAGGAATGTTTATCTTATAATGCTGGAAGCAGATGGATCTATTGCTGAATAAAAGAACGCGCCCAGCTTATGGCACTTGTCGCCTGTCGGTGAAGTACAGACAGTATCAGTATTGCTATGTTGTTTATCTTTTTGTTTAGATAAAAAGTTCCTGAATTTTTACAATTTCTATTTTTTTTTTCGATTAACTTGTTTTTTGTCTCATATGTTCCCAATAAACTTGTTTTTTGATTGATTAAATTTGTTTTTATCCAACACCTGTTAGTTATAAGAGTCATTATTGTGCCAATTTAGACAGGTATCAATCAAAATCAAATAGCACACTAGTGTGTTATAAACCATAACACACTAGTGAGTTATGGTTTATAACTCACTCTCTTATAACGTCAACACAAAACGTCAGGGAATAAATTTTTTATAAATCATGCTTTAAAGAAGACTCATTCCCAAAAAATACCAGTCAGTTTTTTTCAATTCTCATATGCTGCTCGTGTCTTATGATTTCTTAGTTATTGGATAAAACATTGTATGCTACTCGTGTGTTATGTTTTTAAGTCACTTGAGAAATTATAAGTTTTTCTCGCGTGACTTATTTTGAACATAACACACTCACACTAGTACCATAAATAACTATTATATTTGGTTGTTAAAAACTCCAAAAATATAATAACTTTCGCACACTCACCTCACACCCTAACACCAGAAAAAAAAATAACTAAAAAAAGCATGACAGGGCCCCAAAAAAAAATTTGCGTCGGGCCCCAAAGGTCCTAGGTCCTACGAACTCACTTTAACTTTCTTGTTCAAAAGACTTTTTCTAGGAGGGGGGGCAAATGCCTCCCCTTGCCCCCCCCACCCAAACGACGCCCATGCTATGCACTATCTATGTAGTACCTAGTCTAATATCTGATAAAAACAGGTGAAACAGGCTACAGTTAGTTGTACAGCATACCGCTTAACCGCTATGTGATCAATTGACTAACCAATAACGCATGTCTTTACGCAACTGGCAAGACAAAAGGCAAGTAAACTAGTGGTGGAGAACTATCGATTGTACTATCGAGCACTATCGATAGTATCAACTATCGAAGCGCTATCGATTGTTCCTACCGACTATCGATAGTTTTCGATAGTAGCTTATAGCGAATTCTATTAGTAAAGCCAGTGGCTCTCAGTGCGTAGTGAGTGTATTTGCTTGTGTTTGTTTCAGCCAGCATGTGAAAGAAAAGGACAGAAATAGAAAAATATTTTTATGCACTGGTTCCGCTAATAGAAAACGCTTTTGGCCGTTTCCACCAACTATTTTAGGGAAGCCTTAACGATAAGTATTCCCTAAACTGACATTTCTCCATGTAAAACTGTCAGTTAAGGGAATACTTATCGTTAAGGCTTGCCTAAAATAGTTGGTGGAAATGGCCATTAGTCTTGTATTCGAGTAGTGCGAGTGCGTCACATAGGTAGTGCGAACTGCACCGTTTCGTTTATTTTAATCAAAATTGTAAGGAAATTATTTCAGAAATTGAAATTTTTTAGGGTCGGTTTCTCAAAAGCGAGTCACCTCCGGGTTGGTTTCAACTTCTGGGTAAACGTGTCCAGTTGCAATTTTTACCTTGGAGTTATGCTTAACCCGGGGCCTGGGGGTGACTTGCTAATGAGAAACTGGCCCTAAATGTTTTCATTTTTCATCTTCACTTCAGTAGTTAATGAATAGGAATATCATATATTTTAGTTTTTCTGCGTCCACCCACATTTAATAGGTTTAAAATTGAAATGATCTAATTTTGTAAAACTATCGAATACTATCGATAGTTATCGATGGTAAGGAGCCTGGACTATCGATTACTATCGATGGTGCCAACTATCGATAGTTCTCCACCTCTAAAGTAAACGAGACACAACACAAGCAGGCACGAACGCTGGGGATTCCCCATTCCCCAGATAGACTGAGTGCTGAGCACTGCGAGCGTTCGAATTTTCCAATACAAACCACACCGGACTGATCGGAATAATCGGGCGTTATTTAAAGTACACTCCTAAGTCCTAACCCACAGTTCAAGTATGAAATTATTGCTGTGACATTCTCATACATGATTATAATTTAAAAAATATTATAAAAAGCGGTTAAATAATGACAACTGCTTTTATCAGTAGAATTCGCATTGATATCAGTATATCGGTAGACCAATGGCCAAATCAGTAGATCTACTGATAAATCAGAAGACCTAGCAACACTGGTCCGAATAGCAGTGTTCTATTTAAATCACAAAGCATTCGTTCAGAATCATTCGGAGTAACTCCTAAAAATATCGCTTTCTCGAATTTGCTCCATGTTTGACACCGCTACGCATGAGCGCGTTCATAATTTAAATGTACGCGAAATTCGTCTTTTTTTTTAATAGAAAAGGGCAAAGGTGGTGCTTATAAGTTTATTGCAAATACTTAAATGTGATATTCCTCATTTGCATATGGCGATATATCTATTTCAATCACTTTGAAATTTTCGGGATTGATTTCAACTTCTATCTGATCCAATTACCAACTTCAAGAATTGCAAATTTGAACTTAGAACCCACAATATCAAAAATCTCGTAGATTTCGGGGTTATCAAAGACAAACGAAAACCTAAAACAAACGTGAAACGTACTGCGCATGTCGCGTTATTTTACCCATTTCTGACTAGAAGGTCGTGGTCGTTTCGGGCGTGCTCCATGTGCAAACCAACTGGAGCATTAGTTGTATTCCTTTCGAAAGTATAGAACACTAGAGCTACTCGCTACGATGGTAGTCAGTAGTCAGCTGCGTGCATTTAAATGGTTTAGTTCGGGCTTGAGCACTCAGGTGCAACAAACACTTCGAAAGGAATATGTGCGTAACGCCCCGGAGCTGTTCCGGAGCTCTTCCTAGGTTTGAAAGGAATACAACTATTGAAACAAGCCAAAGTTATTCACGAACTCATTTGGGCGATCGGGGAGCGCCGCCGCCGGGCGTTCATTTATGAACGTACCTACTACATGGATAGTTTTTGTTCTGTTCCTGAAAATTTGGGCTCAATCATCCCTTTATTTATATTTTTTTCTTTTTGGCCTTTTTGCGGATTTTGTAGTCAGTCGCAGTCGTGGTATGACTTCAGGGGAAAGGGGGAGAAGTTGGAAGTTCTGAGAATCAAATGCACCAACTAAAAAAAACACCCGCTCAAGAAGTGAAATAGTCATACGGAGTCACTCGCACCTGCTCCAAAGAGATCCAGGGCTGGGATCACGACAAGTGGAATTCTACGTCAAGTTGCCTAGCAACCGTCATCATCGTAAGCGATAAATAGATCACGGGTAACGTCATGAAAGTAGCATTCTACTTGTCGTGATCAGGGATGTGCGTCTACACGTAGACATTCATTGTCTACTTTACGTGTAGACAATGTAGACAACGTGTCAACAATGTAAAATAATATAAATGACGTTTAATTCTAACCTCACACTTTCTTTTTCAAAAATTATTTTTATTTTATTATCGGTTTTCCTCATAGTTATAATCAGTGAATGCTGATATCAAAGTGATAGGTATAAGCTACTCAGGTAGTAGTAATTTTGGAACTTTTTTTTAAATTTTTTAAGATAAGTTTATTGTTTACGTCACATGTAGACAATGTGTAGACAAATGCCCACGTAAACAATTCGAATTGTCTACACGTAGACAATCAATTGTTTACGTTGACAATAGTTGTATTCCTTTCAAGAGCTTGAAACACTCGAGCTACTCGCTTCGGTGCTTAGTCGCCCCCGATTTGCAGGGAACATATGCGTGGTGAAACAAACACTTTTCGAAAGGAATAAGCGCGTGAAGCCCCGGAGCTGTTCCGGAGCTCCTCCTAGGTGTGAAAGGAATACAACGATTGTCTACCAGTGTGTCTATTCTTGAAACCGGGAAACAGCGTTCTCATGAGAATGAAGGTTCTGTCTCTGTCGCCCTTATTTATATTTCCATAACACTGACAAAGATAGAGCAATCGTTCTCGGGAGAATGCTGTTCTCCGGTTTCGAGAATAGACACACAGGCACATCACTGGTGATCCCAGCCCAGGGACTTCTATTCTCGAAACATCGTTGGATTCTCTTTTGCAGCAACCGTTTCGGAAATCGGGGTCCAGATCTGCTCGGAGCAGATTCTGCAAGATGATTCGAGGGTGTGATAGATATATTTGACATGTTGGTGACTCAAAAAAACAAAAAATAAAATATTTGTGATGTGACGTCAGTGGTGCTTTTGTGTTGATGACTAATGTTGTTTTGTTGTTTATGAATATTCTTTTTTAAGAACCCTTGTCGCACAGTCGCACACTGCTATGACAGCTATTGCAATATTTTGCAATTAGTTTTGAAGCTTTAGAAATTCTCCAAAATCTCCAAGTCGGTACCTACTTATAGTTTATTGTGATTTGAAATAATGGCTTATCCACCTCCAGCTCAGGGACAACCAGGGGCTTATCCTACCCCATATAATAGTAAGAACAAATTTATTCAAAGCAATGCATTTTTGTTCTATAGAATTCGAGATCAATTTAAGATCATGATAGGTACATTTTTGTAACCAAACAAGCATACAGAACTTGATAGCTGTGCCTTCTATTTATAGCGTTAGACTCGCCTCTATAATAGTCCACTTTCTAGGTTCTAGATTTTATACTTTTGAGCAGCTGTATTCTGAGAATACAGTATAACTTTTCTGACTCATATTTCCATGGATCGGAAAGTGAAATTCAACTTGGGAAAGATTTGTGATATAGGAAAATCTGCCATGTAGGTCGCCGGTGAGCTACGGGTAATTGTTCCTGGGGCGCCATGTAGGTCATCGGTGACTTACAGTAAACTTTGTCATTGACTTTGTCGAAATCCAACGAAAAATAAGATTTCAAGGTGGTATGGTGTGGTGACCAATGACGATAAAGTCATCTTCATGTGATTTCTAGCATTTTGTTTTGTTTTTCTGCATTCTCTTTTTTTAAATTGTGTCCCAAGTTCAACAAACACAAAACTAACCCAAACAAATTTCTAGTGAATTAAATGAAATAACTAAATAAAATAAAATACTTAAATAAATATTTTCCTTACATTTATATAGAATATAGAACCAACATGTAAACTGCTTCGTCCAGATTTTATTTCTAGAAATTCTCAATCACTTTGAGTTCCATTTTGTGTTATCATCTTGAAAAATTTGAGAACTAATAAAACCTAAAAAATTCCAGCTCCTTACCCTCCACCACCAAATCCAGGCTATGCAACTCCAAATGCTCCAGGTTATGGACCGCCTATGGGTTATGCACCTGTACCTCAAGGATATCCCCCATCAGATGGAAGCCAGTACCCTCCGCCGCCTTATAGTGCTAATGCACCTATTGGTTATGGTGGTCAACCCAGCACTTACGGTGGTCCCCCCAACACTTACAGTGGTCCACCTAGCAGTTACACTGGTCCACATAACAACTATGGTGATTATGGTGGTCCACCTGGTGGTATGAGGCCAGGCCCCATTGTAAATCAACCTGGTATGGCCCCTGGGAGCCTGGCTGGTAAGTTTAGCAAATATAGGGTGTTCGAAAAAAAAAACAGAATTTTATTTTTGTGCTGTAACTTTTTTTGTTGTTGACCAATTTCCTTCTGTTTTGCCTTGTTTGAAAGAGAAATGAACAGGCTAACGAATCAAAGTGAAACTTTTGACATTTGAGAAAAATTCAAAATGGCGGACTTCTTCATAAATTACCTAGTTTTGAAAAACGTTGGAACTTTTTTGTGACCCCTGTATAATTTTTTCCAATAAATTCTTAAAGTTCATCAATTTGTGAACATTTTAAGACCTCGACAGGAAAAATTGGTTGAACAATAAGTGAAATATTGAAAGTTTTGTAATATCGAATATCAACTTTCCATATTTATTAATTTATTTATTTATATATTTATTTATCAACGGGCTTACCCAAAATTTCACAAGGAAAAAATTTATTTTACAAAATAGAACACTAAAACTACATCCCCAATTCCACCGCATCTCTCCCCTTTCCTTTCCCATTCCAATTTTTGCCAAGATAATAACAATCCGAGTAACAATCAAACAAAAAATAAAAATAAAAATAAAATAGAAATATAGGTAGGTATAAATAAAAACAAGAATAAAAATATAAACAATAACAAAAATCAGATGTTTCAGTTAATCACATTATGTCTTAACAGGCTCAAAAAACTATCCATCTGCCATCAAAAAACTGCAAGTAATCTGAATGAGAGTTAGCCATTCGTGCCACTGTGAATGAATTGAAACCAGTATTAGTACGCCTAAAAGCCTGCTGAAATGTGTAGGAAGCTCTTGTGTTTCTAGGTGTGACCGCAAGCAGCACAGAAGAAACCAAAGTGGGACAGTCAACCACATAGTTGATAACCTTGAAGAAATGTTTAAGGTCAGCATGATCCCTTCTTACCTTCAATGCTGGCAATCCAAATCTGACTTGAAGTAAATTAAAAACATAGGTGTATAAATCAATTGGTGGAATCCCTGATTTGTAAACCAGATATCTCACAAACTTCCTCTGCACTTGTTCCAGTCTCTGAATATGACATGCATTGAGGGCTTCAAACCTGCGAACAATACTCCACTATTGGCCTGACAACGGCACAGTTCAGCAGTCGAATAGCGGACACAGTATTAAAGTCAGATAGTTCTCTTGATATAATTAAGCCGAGAATTAAGCATACTTAGAGCTCTAGAAACCATTCAATTCAAATTCAATTCAAAAAGTACTTTATTGTCAATAATTTAGTTGACAAAGTAGGCTATAAGCTAATCGGTACAGAGCACTGATCTAAAAAATAAATGGAGAAACAATTCATACGGCTTGATTGGCAAAATTTGTGCGAAAATTTGGGGTCAATATTCTACGAACAGTTGTGCAACGGAACAGCCTAACGCCTGCGCAGTATCTTATCTTTCGAACAACTGTTCTAAATTTTGAAATTCCTTCATTTTCATTGGCCAGATTTTGTGCACACACAATACATGTATCTACTGCGCACGCTCACAGCTGTCCCAGTCAGTTGTTTTTGTTTAGATTTTGACCTCGTAAATTAGCAGCATTAGAAGAATGTGGCTTGGACGGAATGGACAAAAATATTTACTTCAATGAGGACCTAAAGGTACATTTTCGCTGGAGCCGTCGAACGCCGGCGTCGACGGTCGCCGTTGACGGTGCCCACTGCTATTCATTTGATTCAATGAGTATGGTTTCTTTAGCGCGTCTCACCGCGACCGTCGTATTTCCATTGAATCAAATGAATAGCAGTGGGCACCGTCAACGGCGACCGTCGACGGCGGCGTTTGACGGCTCCAGCGAAAACGTACCTTAACATATCAAAATCAAATGCTGTTTAAAAAAGCAAGAAAGCACAAGCGAAATCATCAGCTCACTGCAGGCTATTGCAGAAATGGGAAAATATATATTAAAAAAACTCCCAATGAGCCATCCATTCTGATAAGATGTGAGCAAGATCTCAAACAACAAAATTTGTAAAATAAGTAAGCTAAAAGTTGCATATAAATATTAATCTGTTAAAATGGATTTATTAACGAAACTCAATATTTTGTATATTAACATCAGAAGCTTACGAAATAAAATCAATGATCTCATAGAAATAGTAGTCCAAAGGAAATACACATTGTAACCATAACTGAGACATGGGTATATCCCAACGAAACAAACTATTTTAATATACCAGGATATGATGCAACCCATGACTGTAGAGACAAGGGAGGGGGAGGATGCTGTATATTTGTAAAAAATGGAATAAAATTTAGCCCTAAAGATGTTAAATTCATTGAAAATTGCTGTAATATTGTGACTATTCATATAAATAAGACTAACACCATTATAAACTGTATATACAGAGCACCAAAGAGCAATAGTACAATATTTCTTAATGAGCTGAGCAATATAATTGAGAAACAAAAAAGCCAATCAGTAGTTATTGGGGATATGAATCTCAACCTTCTCGAAAATACAACTACAGTGAAAGAATATAAAAACCGCATGGAAATGAATGATTATAAAGTCCAAAACACTTTAAATATTGAAAATGCAACAAGACAAGCTAAAACCTCAGCTTCAATATTAGATCATGTATATACAAATAAAAATCCAAGGTGCAATATTAAATTAAAGGATCACATAATATCAGATCACAAGATTATGTACATAGAGCTTGAAAAATATGTGACACAATATACAAAAGAAAGGATAATTAGACAAAAACTTGACTCCCAAAAATGGATTAACATGATAGAAACAAAATTACAACAAGAAGACATACATAGTTTTCAAAGACTGACGGAAATGATGAATAATACAAAGAAAGAATGCACAAGGGAATATAGCTTGAAAATAAAAAGAAATAATTATTGGATAACACCAGAGTTTATAAGGATAATAAAAGAAAGGGATAAACTTTATACAAGATGGAAACGAATAGATAACGATGAGACAAAAAAAGCTTTCAAAGGAAAGAAAAACGAAGTGAATAACTTTAGAAAAAAACTAAAGAAATCATATATTGAAAAACGGCTAAATGAAGCTGGAAATGATTCAAAAAAGGCATGGCAGGTCTTAAATGAATTATGTGGAAGAAGGAAACAAAAAACAAACAAGGTCGAACAAATTAAAAGTAGAGAAGGAGTAACTATAGAGAATGAAGCTATTATGGCCAAAGAGTTCAATGACTATTTCTCAGAAATTGGAATAAACTTGAGGGACAAAATTACTGACAGAAATGTATATGTACAGGGTGTCCGGAAAGTCAACGATAATACTGAAAGGGCTGATGGAACAACTCATTAGCATCCAGAAAAACATAATATGACCTTAGTAAAAAATCGATAGTTTTCGAGATAATGTCACTTTAATAAAATTCGTTGAAAAGGCCCTCTTGGATCAGATTTTCCAGTGTCACATTAAAATTTTCATTATTTTCAGATTCTCTATTCAGTTTTGCAATGGTGAATAAACATTTCATTTGTCATAGAACAACTTTAAAAGTCAAAGTTGAAAACATTTATTAAAAAATCTTTTTAAAGTGAAGTATCAGGAGTATTCACTTTAAAAAGATTTTTTAGTAAATGTTTTGAACTTTGACTTTTAATGTTATTCTATGACAAATGAAATGTTTACTCACCATTGCAAAACTTAATAGAGAATCGAGAATCTGAAAATAATGAAAATTTTAATGTGACACTCGAAAATCTGATCCAACAGGACCATTTTATCGAATTTTATTAAAGTGACATTATCTCGAAAACCATCGATTTTTTACTAAGGTCATATTATGTTTTTCTGGATGCTAATGAGTTGTTCCATCAGCCCTTTCAGTATTATCGTTGACTTTCCGGACACCCTGTATATCGTCGGCATCATATGGAAACTGCCTAAGTCCAAAAAGGTAAATTTTACAGGAGGCGCCAAAAACCTTTGTGAAGAAAAACTACATGATACAAATCGTAAAAATCACCGGCAAGAATGCACAGAAGAAATTGGACTTACGCAAGTTTCACTCTGTCTTAAGACGACGAGGGACTTGTGCAAATTTCTTTTCATGATTGTGTGGCTCCATCTAACAATTTATCGCTGAAATATTTTGTTGGATCATAGATTATTGAGTTTCTCACAAGAGTGCACTAAAATCTTGATTTTGAAAAAAATTGGACTTAGGCAATTTTCATATGATGCTGATGATATGTTCAAAGAAGAAAATGTTGCTGAGGAAATTAAAATGGACCAAACAAACATTATAGAAGTAAAAAATATAGTGCAGGAACTCAAGGAAAACCGCTCACCTGGAGAAGACAAAATCACAAAAAAAACGTAATACTGCTGATGGACATCATAGGAGAAAAAATAGTTACTCTGACAAATAACATATTGGCCAACGGTACATTCCCAGAAGAACTGAAGGTTGCGAAGATTACACCAGTATATAAAAAAGGTTCGCATACAGATCTTGGTAATTATAGACCAATCTCTGTATTTAACACTTTCTCAAAAATAGTAGAAAAAATCGTTAAAAAAAGACTTGTGCAACATATCGAAAACACATTCAAATTTGATGATTATCAATATGGTTTTCAACAGAAAAGCAACACCCTAGGCGCAACAGCTGACCTACTCGAATATGTAACAGACCAGCTTGTCCTCAAGAATCATATAATAATAATATTTATAGATCTGCAGAGGGCGTTTGATACAGTCGACATAGACTTGCTCTTGGAAAAAATTGAAAAAATGGGAATCAGAGGAACAGCATATAAATTACTAGAGACTTATTCCAAAAACAGAACACATTATACAGTAATAAACAAAAGCCAAAGTGATAAAACAAAACTCAATGTTGGTGTCGCGCAAGGATCGGTATTAGGTCCTATTCAGTATCTCTTGTATGTCCACAGCCTGAAATATTTGGAACTTAAATCAAGATACCTTATGTTCACTGATGACACCGTGCTTATACTATCACATATTGACCCAAAAACTCTTGA